TCGGACCCTCCCACAGATTGGATAACAGGCTGGCCTGACGCGCACTCTAGAATCCCTTGCCGTTGATGTTTGTTGCCTTTCAGAAACTCGATTGCAGGATCCCAGCACTGTGGTTAAGTTGTCGTCCCCGACTGCTTTTGAAACCACCTAGTACCTACGTCTGTCTGGTGACATGGAGACATCAGCAGCCCCCTCAGCTGGTGTTGGTATCGCACTGAGTGACAAAGCAGAGGCTGCATTACTTGACTGCTTTCCAATCGACAGCCGGCTGTGTGCGGTTCGGCTTCAAGGCTCATGTAGAATCAACTGACATGGGGAAGAGAGTCGCAATTTGTTTGTCGTTTCTACCTACGCTCCAACTGACTGCAGCCGTGCATCGGTTAAGGATGACTTTTGTCGTGGACTCCATAATCTTTTGAACAAGATCGAAAAGTCAGATGTCATCGTCCTCGCCGGAGATCTCAGTATACGAGTAGGTCGCCTGCTTTCTTGCGAACGTCATCTTGGTGGCAGTCACGCGCTTGTTGAGAGCTATTATGACAACGGTGATAGAGTTCTTACGTTATACGAAGATCACTGCCTCTTTCACTTAAGTACGAACTTTAGGCATACCAGTGGACGTGCAGTGACCTGGCGTCCTCCTTCACCAACGCAAGCGTGGTCACACATAGACCACATGGCAATCAGCTTTAGATGGCAAGGCAGCGTCCGGGATTGAAGATCGATTTGGTCTACGTACCTCGATTCAGATCATGCTTAGGTTTGCGCGCACCACTGCACGCACTTCGGCGGTTCCTCAAAACAAAAGCTCCCTACGCGCTACACCAACAGGTTAGCTGACCTCTCTACTCGATCAGCTTATCAAGCTTCCTTATCGCATACATCCATTAGTGCTTCCCCTCGAGACAGCGAAAATCATTGGAGGTTCCTGTGCGAAGCGATGCTAACTTCCAGCCATTCAGTCTACGGAATCACAAGGCGCTCTCTGAGGTACTGGATTTCCGCACACTCACTGGAACTGTTTTATCGTCGTAGAGCTATCCTAACTGATTCAAATAGCAGTGCAATGCGTCGCATCTTCAGACAACAACTTAAGCCTCTGTGCTTAACGCGAAACTTGGTGGTCCCAACGCACCTCAGAGATGGAAACGGCACTACTCTCTGGATATTTTTGCAAGCCCCTCCAGGTCATTCTGGAAACTGGTCACAAAAGACCTGGTGTTAGTGAAGTCATCTGCGTGGTTGACGGAACGCCGATAAGCAACTTACAAGGGCGCATGGACCGCTGGGCTGAACACTTTCGCACTCAATTCAGCTGACCTCCACCGCCGGCAAGCCTAAGGAGTATGCCTAGTTGCGCGCCATGGAACGTCTCATTGGAACCACCCACAAAAGCTGAGGTCTGCCTTGGGCCCCGACACTTGAAGCGATTCAAGTCTGCTGGTCCAGAAGGACTTCCTCCAGAGTTGTTTGACTTCGGGGGTGTGGAGAAACAGTCCCATTCGCTTGGGGAGAGTCAATTATCGTCACGATCTTCAAGAAAGTTGCCAGTACCCTATGCGCTAACCACCGAGGAACCAGTCTTATGTCCGTTGCTTCCAAGCTGTTAACACCCAGTCTACTCCCCAGACTAACCCCGAATCGAGAATTGCGCTTCCGTGAAGAACAGACTGGTTTCCGCCAATGTCTAGGGTGTATAAACCACTTGTTTCCGCTCCGACAACTCTTTGAAACGCGTCATCTTTACCACCAGCCCACTATGCTGATGATATTACCTTGCTTGGTGATGACGCAAAAAGCACACAGGCCGTTCTAAATCGCTTGACGATTGAAACATCAAACTATAGCATGACTTTTTCTCCTACGAAATGCAAAGTCCTGGTCCTGGATTGGCATCTACCTTCACCAGTGCCCACTCTTCAAGGTATGCAGCTTGAAGAGGTGGACAAGTTTGTTTGCCTGGGAAACTGTGTCTCTGCTGATGGTAGCACTAGAAAAGAGATTTCCCTCCGCATTGCCAAAACCCCTTCAGCGTTCGCCAAGTTGAGGCATATGTAGCGACACCATGACGTTTCACTATTGGTAAAGGGCAGGGTCTACAATGCCTGTGTTCACGCAGTGCTGTTTTATGGAAGTGAGTCCTGGCCGATTCCTGTGAATGACGTGCGTCGGATTTCGGTCTTTGACAATGGATGTCTGCAGAGAATAGCTCGAGTGTGGTGGATGAACCACGTGCACAACGATAATGTTAGACATCGCGTCTTGGGTAACACGGGACTTCCACTTTACAGACTGATAGTGCTGCACTAACTAAGATGGCTCGGCCACGTTTTACGCATGACATGCAAATGGCTGCCCCGACGCTGGAAGAAATCGCGGTCAGCCAATCACATGGCGACAAACGATTAAAGCGCTAACTTCCAGTTTAGCTGTCGTAGGTCCTATGCGTCTTAAGCGTTGGAGGATCAAAGATGAAGAATACCGCTGGCTGGAAACGCTTTCGGAGATGGCGCAGAACTGGGCCCAATGGAGAATGTGTAAAAATGTTTGTCCTGATTTTATTGATTTACACCGCAAACATTAAACAGAGAAAAAAGCTAAAACGGCGTGTGGAAAAGGGCAAAAAGGACACCAAATTCAAAAACAAAACTATCTTTGTTGTAAATTTTATCCTTTTCTTTGGGGCCTCTGTATTGATTACTTCCATTACATGGCTTTCGCTGGCTCTATGTCTATCGTATAGACTGTTGATTATATATATATATATATATATATATATATATATATATATATATTCACCCATCCTTGGTTCTTGATGCACTTCCTCGAAGTGACTTGATCAACTTTGTGGCACAAATGCTGACACTATATATAGTGTTGTAAACGCTTCTTCTTACAAGTGCTCTCTGCCACTCCCAGCCGCTTCAGGAAAACTCACACCGCTCTGCACACAAACGTTCTATTCACAATTAGCAGGAAAGTACAACAAGCTGGGTTTTTAAAAACTCACTGGCCTACTCGATCGATCGCCTGATCGACCGCACTGAGGAGGACGCTTCCCGTATTCAGATCCGTTTACGTCTCTCTTACCTTCCCTTCACATTGATTGCTTCTACCTATTTTCCGCATTTGGGCTTGATCGTTGCTTTTTAATCTGAGGTTCACTTGTAGCCATCGCGGTTGCCCTCGGCTGCGACTTGGCTTGCATGACAGGTCGTTTGGCGCCCGAGTGATCAGCTGTGTTCCGCTTTGGGACTCAACCTGTAGCCATGGTGATTGTCTCCGCTTTCGGGTCGGCCTACACTGTGCGTCATCTGCTGCTTGCATCTTATGTTGTGATTCACTTTACCGAGCAGCTTCGTTCCCCAACAAAACGTGTCTAGCAGGATGTCCCATGGTAGGGATGGCGGTTCTGAGGGATGTTGAGTCTTGCTGTGATTCGGCCTCAGCCGATTGGTGTGCCTGACCCATTTCTCATTTCCTACCATCAGCTCGTAGATGACCTAACCGTTTCTGTGGATCACACTTCTTGTCGACCACCTCTTCGGTCCTCGGAAGTCTCGCGCGTACACCATATTCCCAGTTTTGAAATGACGCACGCTGTCCGCTTTTCCCCCGCATGGTAATTGCAATGCTTTTCTTTCCTGCTTGGCACAAGGCGCATCGGTCTGGTTTAGTGACTGACTTTAGGTTCAGGGCAGCACTGGTGCTTCTGCAACATTCTCAACCAAGTTGGAGTATTGTTTCGTGGCGTCTATTCATCTGCGTAATCTGACTGCCCTTGATTTCTACTGTCACATCCTCAGGTCTGATGGGCACATCAGATTTTGAAGTGGCAGTGTGGCAGAAATGCTGCTCTTCCCTGGCTTCCGACCTTGTGACCACATTTGTACTAGGATCCAAATTGAGCAACCTTGGCATTCTGCAACAGTTGCTTGCGTTGTCAGCTTCTGTTCCGGTTCTCATTCTACTTGAATGTTTAATTTTTGTGATAAAGGTTCGAGCAACGCCTCTGCTACTTTTCGAACTGTGACTGCTGCTGCTGCTGCTGCAAAAATGCCTGCAATTGTTCAAAACTGACTGACATCTTTGGGTTCTTCTGAGTCCTGTCACTACGATTATAAAACGCTTCTTCTTACCTCTGCTTGCTGCCACTCCCAACCGCGTCAGCGGAAGAAACTGACATAGGCTATGTACACAAGCCTTCTACTTACAAGTATGAGGAAAGTACAACAAGCTGGGGTTTGAAAACTCACGGGCCTATTCGCTTGATCGTCTGATCGACCGCACTGAGGTGGACTCCTCCCATATTCAGCTCCGTTTATATCTCTATTAATATATATATATATATATATATATATATATATATATATATATATATATATATATATCACTGTTAACGGTGCTTCCATTTCAACAACTGTGAATAAAGCTGACAAGATCTCTAGACAGATCCAGTCATTGAGAAGCAGGTACTGGTCTCCCAATATATCACTGAGTGTGTATAGCTCTCTGCTTTTTCTCTTTGGACGGAGGACATCCACCCGGTTGAACTACCATCTATACTGTTCATTTATGACATTATGGTCGGTTTAGCAGTAGCTCTATCATTCCGTTAGGTCGCTCTGTCTCAGTAAATAGGATAGTCATACATTAAATCGGAAATGGTCCAGCAGCCATCATCTGCATCACCGTTTCGTCGCAAGTTGTATGTCGTCTACTGAGATTAGGTATAAGTCGGAATATTGTAAAAAACTAAAAAACTAGACTTTTATTCGCAAAACTCACGCATACCATCTTTCTGAATGAGTAATGGCCCAGTTAGTATGGCAACTTTTTTCAATAATCCCATATTTGGAATCTAGGTGTCCCACCAGTGGCCGTTGAACCACCCAACCGTGTCTACACTTCGTCAAATAATGTATTAACTTGTTTGCAATAACTGGGACGTCCCATCCAGGAATCATCGCCTTCATGGACAGCGATAGCAACATACTCACCGATCTCGCCTTGTCGTACGTCAAATCGACTGACACCATCGATAATGAACTTGGGGTTGCGAGTCAGTTCCTGCAAAACAAAAACGCAACAATCGTGTTCAGTTGCAGTACAAAAGTACAATATGTTGGAAGCAACAGAAAATTTGAGCTGCAGTTCATCAGTGTCAGGTGAACTTTGAAGCGGTCTCAGAGCCAACTGCTTTCAACCGATGGTGACAGCCTCAAGTACCTAGTCGTGCCGGATAGTTTTCGATTACATGGGTTGATTTGTAGTTCGGATACTTAAAGCGAACAGACAGTGGTCATTTAGAAATACATTTCGTGTGAATGGATTGTAACGCGCACTCCGAAGCAGGACCACAATTCATCTTGAAGCGAGGACCGCTGAATTCAGTCATTAAAACAAACCAGGCATCAGCAGTACGCCGATTGGTCATACCGACTCTTCAGGGCCACGCAACCACCATCAGTCGCGCATGGGCTAAGGATACTGTGAAGGTCGCTCTGTCCACTACATAGGATCGAATTCACGACATCCGGGTTACCAAGCAGACGCTTTGTCCTTTCGGCCACGCACCGGTTTCTGAACCAGCTATTAGAAGTTGCCCACATGAAACACACTGCACCCCGCGACTGCTTTTGTGCCCGTTTACATTCATCAGTTAGAGGGCAGGACTGCGACTGTAATCTGGGACTTTCGGATGTCAGCCGGAAAGGTTTAATAAGATAAAGTGAACAGATTGTTTTATAACCTGGATTATTTACGAACACTCCAAATAGGTTGCATTGCCCAATGATGACAGACGGTAAGAGTTTTCAATAAAGAGGATGTGGGATTTAACTTGGGTGCATTTATGTTGCAACTGGCATACTAAATGGCAAAACTTGAATGCGAAAGCACTTTCTGTCCTCCAATTCCATGTCAGCAAGGATGGGCAAGCCACTAATCCACTGAATTAGCCGTTTAATCCAGTGCTTTGTGCCAGTTTCAACAGAGCAAGAACAAGCAACGTTTCAGCGAAATAATATGGATACAGTATATTTCATACATTCTCATCAGCCACTTATATACAATGGGTGAAATTTTTAAACCGTCAGAAATGACAGTACAATACTACAAATCGAAGGTAGCTTGTTCGAGCGAGGCTGTCACGCCCTACCGAGGCAAAGCACGGTTGGTCAAAATCTCAACATATTTGCATAGGTTAGGCTTCAAATGTCAGATGGCAGAAGCAGTAGGAAAACGCAGTAGGTTGGCATTGTTCTATTTGTTGATAAACTTGAATGCCTCGCGGGGGGTTCGGGTTACAGAGCTAGCGAGTACTGTTGAAACATTGAGAGCTAGATTTTGCGAAATGTGTTCATAACAACCATCTCTGTGTCCAGCCGGTATACTTGCGACCACAACTGCAGCTAAACCGGTAAATACAGGAGGCGATTACATCTGTGTGAGACTTGTCTAGACTAGATTCGTGTAGTTCGGTTGAGCAATGCGAGCTCAGATGCAAAATAGCACACCTTAATGGCGTGACGTAAGCGATGGGAGAAACGCCTATCATTTGGTTCTGCTTTATAAGACAAGGTGATAAACCCTTTCTTCCGTTGACTTCAGCCTGATCTTCTTGCGGCACGATTTTGTCTCCATACCTGGTTTTATATATATATATATATATATATATATATATATATATATATGGAAAGTCCATGCATAGGGACATTACTCATAGGAGAGAAGATTGGGGGCATTTCTGGCTGGTCGCCGTAGACAGTAGGTCGCTGTTGTGTATTCTGTCAGGATTCTTGACGGCTAGTCTAAACAGACACGTGCACACAACCCCAGACACACACACAAGGCGTCTAATTCTCTGCTTGCCTATTGCTTCATCCCTCTCCTTGCGACACCATAATGTACTCACCCAGTTAGACGTTGATCAGATTACAGCAGTTCGTTTACGAGAGTGACCTTTGTAATACTGCTCGTGCATTTGACCTTTCATATACAATAGTCGCCATAGCAGTTCTCGCTGTACAATCAGCTGTCTATAAAATAGGCATCAAACTATCCAAAAGCACGGAATTAATGTGCACCAAACCTGCCGGACCTGATGGGCTTCACCCACTGGTTCTCAAGTCACTTTCAACCATCCTCTCTCCTGTCGTGACTGACCTTTACGTTCTGTAAGTCAACAGTTAGCCAAACCACTTGAGGCTGGTAGTATACTTCGCCCTGCAAGGCCAACCTCGTCCGACCAGAGGCGTTATAATCTCGTGATCTTTCACGCACCGGAGTCCAGTGATCCATCACCCCAAGTGCGCTACGATCACGATGTCGAGTTTTTACAGAATCTAATTGATAGACTCCTCGACGCTGGTGAGGACTCGGTAAAAGTGAGGCAGATTACCCGTCTTGGAAAGCAAGGTGATCAACAAAATCGGCCTATGAGAATCACTTTTGTGGACGAAGCCAGTCCAAGACTTATCATGTCTCGCCTAAGTAGGCTGAAAGGTTTGAAGATCCATGTTCGTCCCGACCTGGACCCAGTAGATAGGGAGCGGCTCAAGTCTGCCATCATTGAGTTGAAAAGACGCACTGGTGAGGGGGAAACAAATCTTCGTATCGTAAATTTTCGGGTGGTTTCCAACAATCCGCGAATCAGGATAAACAGGCTGCTCACACTTCAAGCACGCCCGGTGGCTCCTGCTGCGGCCTGCGAGTAGCGTTCACAAACGTTTGCAGTATTATGAATAAGCGCGATGAGCTTTGTTGTTTCGTTGCGTCTGAACGGCCAGACGTAGTGGGACTCGCAGAGACATGGCTGCATGCAGAGTTATACACCCAAGAACTTGAACTCAACGGTTACTCGTGTTTCCGATGCGATAGACTAAAGAATGTCCACGGTGGTGTCTTACTTTACATCCGATCTTCCCTGCGTGGGAGACTTGTGAACACCTACCGAAGTGACGATGGCCTGTGTGAGCTACTGTGGTGCTGCATCCGCCTCAGGCGCGGAGAACTGCTTGTGGGCGCAGTTTATCGCAGTCCCCTGAGTCGTTGTTTGGATCGGCTGCCCCATCTTCGGACCCACATGAGTCGTCCACACTTTCTGCTTATGGGCGATTTTAACTGTCCTCGAATACGATGGCTTGATGTGCATTTGATGCCTGGACATAGTGAGGTTGAAGCAAAGTTCGTGGATTTGGTACTTGAAACTGGTGCATCGCAACACATATGCCAGCCAACACGCATCTCAACACGTTCGACCTCGTCCTGTCTCGATCTGATGTTAACGAGCTACGAACAACGAGTGCGTGACGTTAGGATCCTGGAGCCCCTGGCTAAGAGCGACCACTCAGTACTGATAGCTGATATGGAATTATCTTTGCCGTATTCACATCCCGTGCAACCAGCTCCCAAATACTGGAAAACGGACTTCGATGGTCTTGCTCTAGCCGCGAGCCAACTGGATTGGTCTCTGTCACAAGCTGCATCTGTGGAAGATTGTTGGATATTTATAAAAGAGAGATTGACATTATTGTTTTCCCAATGTGTGCCAATGAAATGTCGAACGGTTGGACCGATTAAGCCTCATTGGTTTGATAAGGAGTATGGAAACCTGGCTCGGAGGCGGCGCAGACTGTGGGACAAATTCCTTCTCTCTGGCTCTGCCAATGATTACGAAGGGTATAATTGTCAGCGGTACCTCTGCAACAGTGCAAAAAAGAATAAACGCCGACACTTTGAAGAGCAGCTCGCATTAGCCGCGAAGACCGCCCCAAAGAGAATCTTTGCATACGTGAAGCGATGCCTGAAGCCGGCGGGTGATGTGCCAGTGCTGGATGGCACGGATGGACAGCCCCTAACCTCCAGCACTGAGCGTGCGTCCGCGTTGGCGGCGCACTTCGCTTCTGTATTTTGCGAATAACCAGGTGTCTGTTCCGAGTTCGACGTGTACCGCTTTTACCGAACTCGATAGTCTGCATTGCGGCGTTGAAGAGGTAGCTCAACTACTCGCCAACCTTGACGGCACCAAACCTGCCGGACCTGATGGGCTTCACCCACTGGTTCTCAAGTCACTTTCAACCATCCTCTCTCCTGTCGTAACTGACCTTTTCAACAGGTCGCTGTCCGAAGGTTCTTGCCGGTTGAATGGAAATGTGCGGTGGTGAAGCCTAGTCCGAAAGGCGGCGACCCTAGCAAAGTAGACAATTACAGGCCAATTTGCCTGACACCTATTTTGGCAAAGGTTGCTGAGAAAATCGTGAAGAAGAGATTGCTGCAGTTGCTACAGTCAAACGAGGTCCTGATGCCCGCACAGCACGGTTTTATGCAAGGTCGCTCATGCATTACTAACCTGCTTGTAACGAGGCATGAGTGGTTGAAGGCAATAAACAATGGGAAGTCCGTCGACGTGATATTCATCGATTTCAGTAAAGCGTTCGACAAGGTCAGTCATGAGGTTCTCCTTCACAAACTCAGCATGTGTGGCGTCGGTGGCTCACTGCACCGATGGATCCGCGACTTTCTTGTTGGACGAAAGTGGAGGGTACAGATCGACGACCATCTAACTGACTGGTACCCCTCTACAAGTGGCGTGCCTCAAGGCACTGTGCTGGGGCCCACTCTGTTCCTGATCCACATCAACGATCTACCGCAGCTTCTCCGGTCGCCGTGTGCCTTGTTTGCGGACGACATAAAGATTTGGAGAGAAATCGACGCTCCCGATGACTGTGGCCTACTTCAGCAAGATCTCAACCGCTTATGCACATGGTCTGCAGAAGTTCTTCTCCCGGTCAACCCAGCCAAGTCGGTATTTATGAGCCTGGGGAAGGGTGCTAACGGCCGAACCTACACCCTTGACGGCCAAACGCTATATCCCACACCCTCCGTGAAGGACCTAGGTGTACTCTCACGCTACGATTTGAAGTCCGTGGACAACACGAACAGGCTATATCGGAACGGACTGCGCATGCTTTGGGCGCTCAAACGTAGCTTCGGCACATGGTCTGAAGAGGTTGCCACTCGCCTCTTCTCTTCCATCATTAGACCAATACTAGAGTACGGTTCGCCCG